TATATCCTACTTGGCAATAAACTTGATTCTAATTCATAATTAGAATCAATTAATTCATTTAAAATGTTAACATGTTTCTTTTACTTTTTTAAAGTAGTTTAACTTGATGCCTTTTTTTTCCCACACCAAATATGGTTGTAATAAATGTTTGTCTAACCAAATGACTGACTTTAAAATGGGTTGGAGGTAAAAACAAGTGAAGTTTTTGCTGTGAACTGATGGAGAACTTTCTTAATATTAGCCAGAGATTACACTCTTCTTCACTGCAATCTTCCTGAAACTAGCTCACGCGCCTCCCTGTCATGTTTGCCCAACCCCTCCGACATCGAAAAGTAGTCCCCGCCCTTCTCCCTCGCTCTCAGCCCAACTTGATTATCAGTATCGCCACCCCGGAGCATCATGGGAGCTGTAGTTCCCGCTTCGCTAGCACGTTCGAGAAGGCGAGGCTTCACCAAAATACAACTCCCATCTCGACCCTCGCACGCTGAGCACCGCCGTCCAATCTGAATATGTGGGAGGAGCGCGTCCGCCCACAAAAGCCACAGCTATCTCCTCGTTATCGAACCCAATTGTGCACGAATATAAAGGAATAGGTTCAAAATATAACATCCGCTGGCGGCTCGTTTTAGGTTCGCGGCGGACGGCGACGAGACGTCCGCGCGTCGTGTGTCGTTCGCGGAGGAAGAAGCGGCGGGTGACAAGAGGCAGGAGCAGCGAGGAGGGTGTTGTCCTGATGCTTAAATGGAAGTGGGTGGGCCTACACGGTCACACACCGCCAACTTCTCTGTGGACATCGCTCTGACAAGCACAAATTAGCTCTTTTATGGACTGTCTGTCCGGCGGGAGAACCAGAAGACGGGGAGGGGGCTGCGAGGAGTCCAACGGTTAGGTGTGAGCTGCCGTTTCCGATATTTTCAGAGGGGGGTGTTTGATTGTGTCTTCGCTTGGCACCGCCCTTCCTGGCTGGTGGGTGGTTTCGTCAAACGGGCTGATCCGTTACTGCCCAGAGCCGAACATATAGGCCGTCCTCCGCCTCTGTACCCGGCCGGCCTTCTACCGTGAACTACACCCTCTCCCTCTCGGTATATTAATGCGTTATGAGTGGTAGGTACCCTCCCCCCTCTTCGTCTCCACCCCTCTATCAGTCTCTCTCTTCCTTTGACAGATAGGAGGCTCCATGCCTCCTTTGATATTGATGATGAGGTTACTGCTTTCTCTCTGATCTCTATTGATCACCTTTGTTTAATTATATCTGTTTAATGCTTTCATTTTATTTACAAACCCACATTATCTACTGCTTGATTTATCCTGGGACTTTATCCAGGGAGTGATCATGAATGAAAGAAAATATGTTCTGAGATAACAGCTACTTTCTTTCCCACAGACTCGAAGAAGGAATCATCTGGAACAGAAGGAGGGAAAGCATCTAAACGGGGCAAAAGTTCAGGATCGCAGGTAAAAAGAGAGGAGTTTGTTTTAGTTCATTAGTTTTTTTGCCTTGCCTGTAGGCCAAAAATGTTCTCACTCCCTCTCAGCCAGTCAGACAGACACCTCTGGGGGCGTTTCTCTGGTGATTTCCACTTCCTGCTTCTGTGCAGCCCTGCTGAGAGCCAACCCAAAGCCTCATGAATAAGCTTATATGGCTGTCACACTCCAGCAGCTTTTAAATTTGTCTATTTGAATTATAGTCAGTTTCATTCATTTTCACTGATGCCTGTTTTAAATACCTATTTTTTCCTGTTTATGCTCTCTAATTTCTATTGTAAGTAAACATAGAGAGGTTGCAGATGCATGGCATGACTAGAATATCAACGCACTACCTTTATGATGCATTTGGATTAGTGTAAATAATGTAAATAATCCGAGGCTGTGTCTCTTTTATTGTTTAGAGGTGTTTGACTTTAAACATTTGCCCGCGACCTAGTTTTTCTTCTTTTGTGAAAAAGGGAGGAGAGTGAAGGCAGCATTTTTTTTTTTCCAGTGTTCTGAGAAAACAGAAATGTGGTTCTCACATGCCCACCCACTCGCTTCCTGTAATACCGCCCACTTCCACTACTGACAGCTCTCTGTCTCTTTTCTTTGTGTATTTCTTTTTTTTTCTTCTTCTTTTTTTCCCATCTATTTCTATTCTGTGCTTTTTTTCCTCTCTTCAATATTTTCGCGGTGACATCTTTGCACAAAAGTAAAGCTTTATAAAAGTAGCCATGCCCCTTGAATTTTTTTTCTTACACTTTGTCATGATAATATTGATGTATTTTATGTTAATTTTTAAGTGAAGAAAACATGAATGTATTGATGATGATTTGATTTTCCCCTTATTTTTAAAATTCTAAATATGAAGCGCATTGCTTTAGACTCAGCATCAATTAGTTAATACATTTTAAAGCCCTGTAATGTTTCTGTTGGATTTGCACATTTGGAGAGTGCCATTACAGCACATTATTTTCAGAATAGCTCAGTCCAATTGGATTTAGATGGTCTTTGAGAAACAATTTTCAAGTTTTGCCAACTATTCTCAGTGAATTCAAGTATTGACTCTCTAACATTTGGTCATGCCTGCAGTTCGGCTGCATGCTTGGGGTGGTATTCTGACTGGAAGGTGAACCTTAGTCCCGTCAGTCTTTCAAGCTTGTATTTACCTTGGTCCATCCATTTAGGGAACTATGACCCATCTCCCTGTCCCTACAATGGAATAGCAACCCCGCAGCATGATGCTTCCACCACCATGTTTCACAGGGGTTCTTCAGGGGAATGTGCAGTTTTTATTTTTTTCTTCATACATAGCATCTTGTTTGTAAGACAGAAAGCAAACTGAGTCCAATCTTATGATTACTATACCCCCAAAGTGTGTTAGTTCAAACTGTACTTTTGGCTTATTTTCCACCTGTCAATGCATGTGCAGTTCGAGAAATTCTGGTATAAAAGTTTTCCATTGGAAAGATTGATCCACCTGATGCAGATTTTGGCAGATGTTTCAATGGGCCTGTTGGCTGTTTCTCAGATTATTGTTCTCTTTGCCTAGTCTGTCAGTTTAGGTAGATGGACGTGTTTGTAGGTCTGAGGCTGCACCATGCTCTTTCTGTTTGTCTGTTGAATTATACTAATGTTCTGTAATGACTGTAATCCTGTAGTTGGTGCTCAACATTTTAGAAAAATCTGGGATCTTCCTGTGGCCATTAGTGCGCATATTTAACAAGCTCTTCCCTTCCCCCTGCAGGATTCCTCCCAGCCATCTCCATTGGCTCTGCTAGCAGCCACCTGCAGTAAGATCGGAGGGCAAGGGGGAGTTGAGGGCTCCCAGACCCAAGCGGGTTCCCAGCAGATTCAACTCCAGACCGGTCAAATCCAGCTCCAGGCAGGTCAGATTCAGGGTCAGATAGTGGTGGATGCAGCCGGGGGCCAGGCACTGGTTCCCCAGCAGCTAGAACTGGTCCCCGCTCAGTTCACTGGGAACGGTTGGCAGATTTTTACATCCGCTCCCGCCATGGCCAAGGAGAACACCAGTCAGCCTGTTGCTGTCACAGTGGCCACCACTCTGGCCAATGACAGTTCACCTGGAGGACGCAAGGTAAAGGTTGTCAGGGGCTTTGGCCAGCTGTTTTTTTGTTTTTTATTATTATTCTTATCCATGTTTTAAAACTCTTCTCCTTTCTGTTAGGTGAAAACCACAACTGGTACCAATAGTGTCCCAACCAATCAGCAGCAGCAACAACAACAACAGCAGCAGCAGTTCCAGATCATCCAGGTTCAAAACCTGCCCACTGCAGGAGGCGGTGTGCAGTATCAGGTCATTCCTCACCTGCAGACGGCTGACGGACAGCAGATTCACATTAACCCACAGCCGGCCTCCATCGGGGCCCTGCCTGAACAGGTTCAGCTCATCCAGACACCAAACTCAGGCCAGACACAGGCTATACTCCAGCCAGCCAACCAGCAGGCTATTCTACCAAGCACAGCCAATCAGACGGTCCCGTTACAGATACGTCCTACACAGACTTTCCCAATTCAGCTGCAGACTCTCCCGGGCTCCCAGACTCCGGTTATGACCACTGTGCCCATAAACCTCGGCGGCATGACCCTTGCTCTGCCGGTGATCAACAGTGTTGGAGGGAGTGGTGCAGTGCAGCTCATCCAGTCGGCAGATGGCACGTTTTCTGTTGCTAATGGCAACCAGCTGGTTACAACAGCAATGCCAGGCGGGACTCCCGCTGCAGCTGGCACCGGGTCAACACCGACGGTAGCTGAAGGGGACAGCATCTCCGATGGCGCTCAGGCGGTTCCTGCCGCACCAGAGAGTGCCCCAGATAACACCGAAGTACAAAGCAATGACGCCGAATCCCAGAACCAGGCCAATGGGCTCCAGACTCAGCCCGATCAGACAGGAACCATCCAGCAAGTGATCGTGGGCCAGGTGGGACACCAGGTAGTGCAGCAGATTCAGCTGCAACCACAGGCACAGAGTCAGGGTCAGACACAGAACCAGCAGCAACCGCAACATATTCAAACCCTGCAGCTGGCGCCGGGACAAACCATCCAGCCAATCCAAGCCTTCCAGAACCCAGCACAGGTTCTCATCCGTGCTCCTACTCTGTCATCCTCGGGGCAGATCACCTGGCAGACCTTACAGCTGCCTGGGGGGGTCTCTTTACAGGGGAGTCTGGGGGCGGCAGTGCCACAGCAGCTAACCCTTGCTCCAATGGCAGGTGGAACCACAGTTGGGAGCGGAGGGCTGGTGTCCCTGAGTGGAACCCCCTTAACGCTGAGTGCTGCCCAGATCAACCCAGGTTCTGGGGTGCAGACGGTCAGCATCGCGGGACTTGGGACAGCAGGGGTTCAGGTGCAGGGTGTCCCCCTCACCATTACTGGTCTACAGGGTAAGAGCTTGGAAAGATTCTCTGAAATTAAGATTAACATCTAAAACATTTACAAATCAAAGCTACAGCTTAAAAGTCTGTCACACCACCCATCCCGCTCAGCCAATTTGCATTGAAAGTAATAAAAGCTGTTTTGGGTCTCCTCTCTGTTTTCCGTTAACAATGATTTGCTTATTTTAAATCCATACTTGATGTTGAAATCTCTCGTAGGTCAACCACAGGGTCAGGACACGGTTAAAGTTCAGCCTTCTCCTGTGACCGTCACTGTCGGCAGCGTGGCCTCAGGTTCATCGGTGAGTCCGGACCAGCTAGGCTCAGTCCAGAGTTCTTCGGACCAGGAGGGGCTCCCAAGCAAGAGGCTTCGACGGGTCGCCTGTTCTTGTCCAAACTGCCGAGATGGAGAGGGAAGGTACAGATTAGAGCAACACACCTCAGTACACAGCACCTGGTTAAAACATACCTGTTAATTCAGCAGAAAATAATTCTGTCTTTAAAAGCCGGAATCAGTGCAGCTTGATGAACAAGATAAGAAAGGAAGTGAACGCTCTTTTTTTCTTTAAGTTTTCATGTTGACACCTGTTTTGGTCTATGACTAACACATAGTTAGCTTTTTAAAGTGGGGAATCTAAGCTGTAACTGGCAGAGAAAACATCCAACTTCAGTGCATTTAATGGGGATTGGTATGTAATTAGTTCACCTTTAGGACAGAACAGAAGGGGAGAGAATATTATGCATAGTTTTTACATATTTTTACAAATGCAAAAACTGAAACGTTTTGTTTTTTGTACGCTTGACAACCTTAAAGGAAATCCAGTCCAGCACCTCATTAGCAGAAGTAATGATTGGGACGGCTCTATTAATATAGTTTTATTCATATTCTATTACATTTAATTTATTTGAAGTTAAATCCAGACAGCTGCAGCCATTTCAGAATTTTACACTTAATTTGGGCTAAAATGTGATTGGTTTAATATTTATCCTGGGATTTATCTGAATTAAAATAAAACATTGCAATTCACTAATAATAAAAGTTAATCTTCATTATTTTATTCTTGTTTTTAACTTGTTTTGTGGAGGGAAAAGGAACTGTGATCAAATGCAAATCAAATTTTGCATAAAAAAAAGCATTATAGGCAACAAATGACTTGGGTTTAGGTTTACCTTCTAGCAGGACAGTGACCACAATCCTGTGAGAGCTAGAATCTAAAGGTTTTGATTAGAGATAGCCGATACGTCGACCGATACCTGCATTTGTTGGCCAATTCATCAGCGCATTCATCAGCCATGCCTTGAGGTCTCATAAAGTGTATTTTCTACCCATTGCTAACGTTTTGTTTGATTGGATAATACATTTTTCTTGTCTTTTTTTTGGTTTAAATTGAGACTTGTACAAAATGTATCATTGGGTTGTTTTAATGATGCAAAAGAAGGAAGAAACAACAATATCAGCTCCAACAATTGGCCCAAAATATCAGCAGGAATATTGAGGGATCGGTTAGACTGATGCTTACATAATTGTTATTGACGTCAGCCTTAAAAGATCTTTGTAGGTTGATCGATAGTTTGAATCAATTCATATTCAAGTGTTAAAATTGTCCAGTCAAAGTTGAGATTCACCACAAACTCAATGGAAAATTGGTGTCAAGAATTAAAAATTGATGTTCACAGTATCAGTTCTGCAAAGAACAAAATGTGCAAAAAGGTCTTTTGATGTGCAGCTATAGAGGAAGCAATCCCCTAAAGACTATTTGGTTTTAAATACAGCAAAAAGTTGTTCAGCAACAGTTATTGCATCAGGGAGGCTGAATAAAAATGCACGCTACAATTTGTTGTGGCACAAGTGCTTTATTTCCTCCTCTAATTAAAAGATGTATCACATGAATCCCCCCTGAAAACATTAAAGTTTGTCGTTTTAATATGATGTTACAAAGAGTTAAAATGCTTTTACAAAGCAGTATAAATAAGGGCCAAACAATTGCTAAACATGAAAATTGTGATTCTTTTTTTCCATGTTAAGTTGTGATATTATTTAGGCTTTCCTTTGCTATAACTAAATCATGTAGACGTCTCACTCCAAGGTTATATTGCTTTTATGACTTTGAAAACTTGCTTCCTCTGACTGTAGTGTGACAGAACTTTTGTTTGGAAAAGTGCTGACCTATACTGGCATGCATGGATCTGCTCGCTAGCCAAAATTCTCTGTTTCCTCTGGTTTATTACTGCCACCCAAAATTGCAATTATATTACAAATGCAATTCGTTGCCCAGCCCTATTATAAATATCTGTTAACTTTCTATGACATGTTTACATTTAATTTGAAGAATTATCTATAGATTAAAAGTAATTGAAAAATCCAAACATGCATGTTCCCAGGAACAGCGGAGACCCTACAAAGAAAAAGCAGCACATCTGCCACATGGAGGGCTGCGGGAAGGTATATGGCAAGACGTCTCACTTGAGGGCCCACTTACGCTGGCACACCGGCGAGAGGCCGTTTGTCTGTAACTGGATCTTCTGTGGGAAGAGGTTCACCCGTAGCGACGAGCTGCAGAGACACCGAAGAACACACACAGGTAGGAGACTCAAAAAGACAGACCGATTCTGATTGCAGTTGATAAAATGTTGTTTGTTTACTTTGGTCTGCTGAAACGAAGAGGTCATGAATGTTTGAAGCTGCAGATTCCTAATAAAATTAAAGTTAGGATTTTGGTCAGACTTCTTTAAGTCTTTGTAACCTGGATTTACTCTCCTTTTGTCGCCTCCCCCTCCAGGAGAAAAGCGCTTTGAGTGTCCAGAATGCTCCAAACGCTTCATGCGCAGTGACCACTTATCGAAGCACATCAAGACTCACCAGAACAAGAAGGGCGGCGCAGCCGTGGCCATCATCACCACTGACGACATGGAAGAGGAGCCCCCCGAAGGCCTGGCTGAATCCCCTCAGATCGTCGCTGTGGGGACCCTCACGCGGGACTCTGAACCCGCTACACCCACAACCTCCAACCACATGGAGGAGGAAGAGGAAGAGGAGTTTGAATAGACAAACTGAAGGCAGACTTCCTGATCTTTTTTTTTTTTTTTTTGTATTCTTTGATTTTCTTTGGAGGTGTTTGCAGGGACTTTTACATAATTTTACAATTGTTTTCTTATAAAAAGGACTTAAAAGAGGATCATGAAATGATCATGAAGTGGGGGAAAAAATATGAACATTACAATCTGAAGGAAACTAACATATAACGAAGATTAGTTTGGCTTTTATGTAATAAGATAGAACATCTCCATGTGCATTGAGAGGACAGAATGTAAGTAGATGAGCACAAGACAGGAGGACCTGATGAAACTAAAACCATCCAGCAGTGAGAGGCATTTTCCTAACAAGAATCTAACTCTATGCACAAAGCTGTGTTCCTGTTTCATACCTGTCTGACTGTGCTGAGGTCAATCACGGTACAGGGCGGTTGCAGAGCGCAAGGGCAGGCTGGGATATTCTGTGTGTGTGTGTGTGTGTAAATGTTATCTGCATGAATGGGTGTGTGCTTGTGTTCCCACGCAGCTCCAAAGAGGATCTACCTACGGTGAGTTTTATTCATGGCTCAGGTTGAGTCCTCACTTCAGATTCAGGTGTTGATTTGTTTGATTAGTCAACAAATTATTCTTGAAGAGGGAATTCTAAAAGAAGAGAAGAGTAGGGAAAAAAAAGCACATATAAAAAAAAAGATTTATAAATAATGCATTCCTTATTGAAGCGCAGTGGCCATTAGAATACAAATAAAAGGTTTGTATAGAGAAAAAACAACAACAATCTAGCTTTCTACAACTTTGTTTGTGTAGGGAAAGCAATACTATCATGACAATCCTTGTGAAACCGTGTTTACAATGTCAGGGGAAGTTTTTCGTTACTGAGACAAGACCGTTTTGTTTCGAGAATCAGAAAGAAGTGCTGCCGTCTGAGCAAAGCTAAAGGTTTGCAGGAGTTGCTTCAGCAACAATTTTTAAGGCAGTTTGGCTGTAAATCAACAGTTTTTATCAGATGGCGGCACTGTTGCTGATACTTAATGCTTCTTGGGCTCTGGTGAGGACCCTCTGCTCCGTGTGGGGGGGCCACGACACATCACAAGCAGCTGAAGTAGCCAAGAGCTACAGCAGAGGGAAGCTCTTTAGCTTTGTGGATGTAATATTTTTTGTTAATGTTGCTCTGTGTTGGTTCAGTGCGTACCTTCTTTGAATTAAAACAATTATGTTAAAGAATCGAAATTGTTTTGAAGCCCCTCTTCAGGTGTGTTGACACATGACCCCATTGTGTATGGCTAATTTATTATTTATCCTTGATTTGTAATATTTGCCTTTTGCTGGACTTGTAGTTGTGTGGTTCTAAGGTTGTGTGCAGCATGTTTCAGTTTCTTGCCGTAGTGCTGCTTCTTTCTTCTTTAAACTCCGTTGGTCAACTGTTTCATTTATTTTCTTTGCACCATAACATGTTTTTTGGAGAAAAAAATATATAAATAACAAAACAAGAAGAAAGCAAAAAAATAAATAAATATCAATGTCTAAAGCTGAAAAGATTGATACCAAACAAATTTAGATGTTTTTAAAAATCCTTTTTTGTGTGACAACTAACTTTTCTTTGGTTTTCTATTTTGTAGTGACATCTCATTTGTAAATCTTTTTCTAAAGATGTTTGTTCGTCTCCATGACATTTGATAATGGGTTTTTGCCAGGTTAGCCTTAAAGGCTCCAGTTTATTGATATTTTTAAAACTGGTTTGTACAAATGTGTTATGTCAGCAACAAAAGTTTAAAAAAAAAGACAGAAAAAATGAAAACTTCAAGCAGAAAACATGCTTTGCCTGCTTAACACTTGACAATAAAGTGAGTCTTACATTTCCTCTGAGGCTTTTGTTTCTGTATCTACCCAGGTTGGACAGCATATTGGCTCACCTGGTAAAGATTGATAAAATATCTCACTGCAAAAAAATGTTCATCTAAATAAGTAATTTTTTCTTAAAATAAGTGCATTTTTTCTTGAATTGAGGAGGTAAGTTCAACACTTTGCCAATGGAACAAGACAATTTACATTTGAAATAAGAAAAAAACTATTCAGTTGTCTTATTTTAAGAGCATGTTATCTAATTATCTTATTTTAAGAGTAAAAATACTCATTCCATTGACAAATCATCTAATTTACCTACTTAAATTAAGGGTAAATACACTTAATTTAAGACATTTTTACTTATTTCTAGATCTAGAAGTGTAGTAGTGACTTTCAACTTAAGTTAGTACCTTTATTCACAGAAATTTTCAAGAATTCCTGGATCCAGATGGTTATCTGGATTATCACCAAAATGTAATATGTTGTTGGTTTCAATAGGGTTTCAATATGCGCTTTTTCATGCTGGAATGCATAACTAGGGCTGAAACAATCAGGTTAATTGATTATTCAAATGATTAATTTATTAATTGATTAATCTTTAACTGAACATTTTGCATTTAAGATAAAAATCTTTTTCGTCTGTCATTATGCTCTATCCAGAACTCAAGTGGAAAAGTTTTATTTCCACCTGGTTTTAATTTAATAAAAAGTCCTCTTTAAGGAACTTCAGGCTATCCAATTATTAATCGATTAATTGGAAAAATAATCGACAGATTAATCAGGTTGCAAAATAGTTGCAGCCCTATGCATAACCTTAAACTACAGATTTAAATAAGTCCAAACTTGGATGCAAGTAAAATTTAAGCTTCAATTTTGGATGTCTTTCCTATGATAAAAAAAATCCAAAGCTGCAAAGACTTGCAGTTTGGTGTCCCTGTAATGCTTTTTAAATGCCATGCATTTTCTACTAAAGAGTCCAAACAGTGCTAATATTGCAGGGAAGACTTAAATAAGGCCAATGCTGTGATTTTCAGGCAACACACACTGTATTTCATGCTGTTATGGTTTAGAACAATGGACAAAAAAAACACTTGTGTTTCAAAGGCCAATGAAAGACATTGACATGGATAACATAATGCTCTCTTGTAAATAACCGGACTAATAAAAATCTGGAGTTATTTGGCTCCATCTATTTTATCCTTAATCAGCCAACATTGCTCTTCTGGGATACCTGCATAACCTGACCTCAAACATTCAGGACATTCAGGGGTGCAAAAAAAAAAACAAACAAAAAAAGTTAATTAAAAACATTTTTTATAAAACTTTACCAAAAAAAAAAAAAAAAAAAAAAAATTAATAAAAAAAATTTTTTAAAAAACTTTACAAAAAAAAAAAAAAAAAAAAAAAATCGATAAAAAAAATTTTTTAAAAAA